GGGGGGGAAATTGTTCTCCTTGGCCTCTGAGGACAGGACAAGAAGCAATGGGCTTAAACTGCAACAAGGGAGGTTTAGGTTGGACATCAGGAAAAACTTCCTAACTGTCAGGATTGTTAATCACCAGAATAAATTGCCTAGGGAGGTTGTGGAAACTCCATCACTGGAGATATTTAAGAGCAGGTTAGACAGACCCCTGTCAGGGATGATCTATGGTGCTTGGTGCTGCCGTGAGGGCAGGGGACTGGACTTGACGATCTCTTGAGGTCCCTTCCAGTTCTAGTATTCTATGATTCTATGAATCTATGACAGTAAACAAAACCCTGTTTTCAGGCAGGTTTCACTGTGTAGAGTGCACACAGCCTAAGACACGGATATATATTGAGGGTCGGGGGGAAAGTGCTGCAGAGAATGGAGTTATGGACTTGTTTGGGATTAAACGCTTTTCCCCATAAAACCCCTTTTGAAATAGGTGCACCTCCTAAATACAGGAAAGATGGGCCCTTATTGGCTCTGCACATTCTATTTTGGAACTCAAAGTGATGTCTGATTGGCCAAGTTGCCTGTTGTGTCACTATCTCACTGCCTTCACAAAATGCTTCTAACTTCGTTCTCTTGGTGACGGTGAGGTTCATGGAAGGCTGTCTCTGAGTAAACTCAGGCCTCGGCTCCCTGTGTACAACTGAGAATATTAATATTTAATTATCTCTCTCTTTTATGTAGGTGCAGGTATGTTTCTATGCACAATCTATTTTGTAAAACTCCCCTAAATTAAATGTGGTCCATGTTTAGCGCCCTCTCATCAGCTACTCAGTGGGTAGTTTGAAGTTCTATACTTAACTTACAGATTTTCAGCTATGAGGATTTAAAAATAATTCAATGAGAATTTTGTCTGAGTTATTTCTCTGTGCTGCTTCCCTCTTCGCATTTCACTGCTGCGTCTGCATTTCCCTCCTTTTGCATGACCGTGTTTTCATCACATATCCTGGAAACATATGTCAGTGAGAGTATTTGTGTACTTGTCTGAATGAATGTAAAATATTTTGTCACTGGAAAGTATGCGTGGTCTCTTTGCCGGGAAAAAAAATGTTGCTGCGGTTCTGATGTGGGTTGAACTATCAAATGTTTATGGAGGATGACAAAGCAAAGCTGTTCACAGTGTGGTATCCAAGACATAGTAACGCTACACAATTCACCCAGGAGTGTTCTAGAAAAAACCTGAACCAAAATAATGGAATTTTGTGTGCATTCATCTTTCCAATGTGCTAAGCTCTGTCTGTTTATTCCAGGTGTTGACAATAGGGATCTTAAATTGCGAGTAATTGACTAATCGAATAGTCGATGCATCAGTTCACCTAGTCAATAGGGCGCCTCCCCTTTTGAAGTGTAGAAACAGCCTTAAGGCTGTTGCTACACTTTAAAGGTGAACGCGCCATATGGAGCCTGGGGTTAGCTCCTCCATGAGGTGCTGCCACTTTGAAATGCTGCGGCGAGCCTGGCATCAGACTCCTTGCAACATTTCACAGTGGCAGCACCACATGGAGCCTGGCATCAGCTGGGGACTCCAGGCTCCATGTGGTGCTGCCGCTTTGAAACACCTTTTTGGCCCCAGGCTGCACTGGGTGTTTCAAAGCGGCATTTGCTTATCGGACAGTTGACTGGTCCTTCACATCCCTAGCTGGCAAACTCGTTGATTGTTATTTGTAGCACCTTGATACTTACAAGGAAATTTGAGTGCCCATTGTAGTCAGCATAGTACGAGCCAGACCTTGCCCTAAAGAGCTTTGTGGTACTAGGGATGTGAATGCTTAACCAGTGCCTTGGAGCAGCACCAGCCCCAGCACTGTGAAGGGGAGCAGCGGGAGCCTGCTGGCAACAGCTCCAGCCCGGGGGCCAGTGCAGGGCTGGGAGCCCCATGGCCTCGGGGCTGCTCCGTCCTTCAAGCTCCCATCCCCAGTGCTGAAATCCCACTTAGTCGGTTAACTGGTTAAACGCTGGATTAACCTAACGTTTAACCGGTTAACAGATTAATCGGGATTTTACATCCCTACATGGTACGGAACAGATCTAAATAGCGAGAGCATCTCTGGGGCCGTCTTCCTTTCGCAGTTAATCAGACCTTCCAGTTGAGATCCCATTCTCCGTGATGTGATGAACCTAGAGCAATTACAGCAGCCGTGTGTCTACAACACTACTGGCTCCTCCTCTTTGTTTCCAGCTGCTTCTGTGCAGTCCAGGTTCTTTGCAATGAGTATCTGAAATGCTGGTAGAAACCAGTGAAACCAAGAGCAACAACCAGCATCGTGGCTGTGTCTAGACTACATGGCTCCATCGACGGAGCTATGTAGATGAGGGTTATAGGCAAAGGGAAATGAAGCGGCGATTTAAATAATCGCGGCTTCATTTAAATTTACTTGGCTGCCGCGCTGAGCCGACAAACAGCTAATCAGCTGTTTGTCA